GTTATCCGCTTCGCTTTTTTTACAGAAATTTTATCCGCCGCCGCAGCCGCCGCAGCCGCCGCAGCGCAACGGCCTGATTTTTTCGAAAAATTCCTCGATTGGAATTCGATTCTGTTTACGTTAGGTAACAATCGTAAATAATCCTCTCGAAATTTGGGTTAGAATCGCCGTAAAATACGTACTTACGGGTTTCATTATTTCCTTTTGGAGATCGCTTTACCGCTTGCAATTTATTTTCTTGCGTAAGCGCATGTAAACGAGCCGGTTTTACAATTTTGATAAGCGCGAATGCTCGCCCGACGCATCTTTTTATACCGAATAAATTGATAAAAGTTTATCCACAATAAAAAAATTAAAAAAATGGTAAATATACAAGAACTGTGTGTGTCCTATTTAACAATATATAAAACGTAATTTAAAAACTAAGAATTATCGTACTTTTTGTAATAATAACTGAATCATTATATAGCTTTAACGCCTACACTTTTTTGTCTGTTATTCGGCGTTTATTGCCTATTACGTTGGGTACTCAGGATCAGATCTGAATCTTTCATAAATTGAGTGAATATTAGGGGTATGCTAAAAGTTTTGCATATTTCTAGTGTGTTAAAAATAGAGCAATCCACTTCTAGAACAAACAGGGCTCTCTCTAATCCCTAGGGTTTTGGAATTGACCGGTCACATTTTTTGGTGTCAATTGGCCAGTCAATTGACCGGTCAATTGACTGGCCATTTGGTCATTTTGTCATAGGTAAATTGGATATCACAAACGCCTAATAATTTAATATAAAATAACTATTATTATTAAATAATGATAGATAACACTCTAAAATTGCGAGATGTTATTTAAAACATTTTTTGGTTAGTCAATTAAAAAGTGGTCAATTGACTACACTAATAATCCCATAAGTTTCTATTCACATTTAGTGATCTTCTTTGAACTCATATACAGAAAAAATAATAGCTTATTACAGCTTGTGTCTGTATGCTTCCAAAACCAATGCTTATATACTTATAAAGTATTGTTTAGGAGTTTAAATAAATAAGTTAAGTTAAATAAAAAAGAAATTACAATGATATCAAAATATGTGTTAGTATTCTCGCAAAATGAATGAAATTCGTTATTTTTCCATCCCCGCCTGTAACATATATTGGAAAGTATTTGTCAAAATTAGAGAAAACATTTGCCGGGTCCAAGAAAATAATTATTTTTCCAAAAATTTTTGACAAGTCGAAAAACTTCTCACTTCTCCAACTTCGGGAGTAAATTATTAGCCTTAACTCAAAATCCGGGTGCCCCCTACCATACAGGGTGCGGAAGATATATTTGGAAATTAATTTCTGGTGCAATTTTTATAATTTTCTAAAGCGTGGTATAACTTTTAGGAGAGGCACGTGATTGCGAAAGTAGTACTGTTATTTACTACCTTTTAAGGTTTTTCGTGATGGCTAATAACAGCTAAATAAGTAGATAATTGTGTAGCAAATCCTCTAAATTATCTTTTATCTGTCTGCTCAAAATATATCAACGATACGTCAGACGACGAACGTGTCGAGTCGCTTTAAGTAATCGCAATTTCGGTGTTAACAGACTCTCAGCATCAAGTAAAAAACAGCGTAATGCGGCTTTGATTACCGCGGCAGTATTTCGAAATGAAGCATAAGGAAGATCCATCAATCTCCAGCGTAATAATTTCACATCAATCTCATTAAAGATTTTTCACACTCGTGTGAGTTTCCGCGACGCTACAGACTCCCGCAATAACACCGGAATAATAATTAATCACCGCGCAACGTATTATTACCTTTTTAAAGAGCAAATAAAGTGGGAGCTCGAAGTTGAGGCGAAAAAAAAAATTTCGCCCGGTCGAGAAGTTTTGAATCGAAAGTAGATATTATAGAAAGTGGTGATTTGCACGCACTCTTCTATAATTGATGGGCAACGTTAAAAGAAGATGGTTCAAGCTCCGGTTCGAACTATGTAACAGTACCTACACGCACTGGATGTACCGTGTGTTTGAAAACAAATTAGAAAAACTCGTTGCTCAAAATAAAGGACATTATATTAACGCTGGATCAAACGTTAACTAAATATAGCGAAAAAATAAAGGAAAAGGCTTTTATTCATAGTTTATGCCATTAGTAGGTAAGTTCGTTTCAGAAAATTTCATTAATAAATTAATTAATTAATATATTTAATAGATTTGGATTAGATTTAATAAATAGTTCCTAAATGAACCTGGATATAATTTTTTTTATCTACTTCCATACAAAAGTTGTTCTTCGAATTTATTTGGGAGAAACAACAACCCCCTCTACTTATTCTAAAAAGGTGAAAAAATATGCGGAAAGGGTGTTCTATTTTCATTTTGCATTAAAAAAATAAAACCTTTGTTTATATGCAACATGGTTTATATTTTACCAAACCGTTTTTCACGATAATAGGAACTGGACGACATATTAAATGAGATCAAAGAGATCATTTGCAGTTTTTTTAGCAGCCAAACATTGTTGTGTTTGTGTTAGTTAACATGTTCTCCATTGTATGAACCTTGTCATCTTGTATCATAAACAACCCTTCATTTTGAACAAGGAGTGGTGTCCTCAAGCTTATCGCATTTGTTTCCAAACACCTTGTACATGCGGACGAGGCGTAAACAGAAATCATCAGCTCGTTAGCGTCAGGCACGGAAAACAATCATCAAAGAACCAGTGGAAGCAAGTTGGAGAAATTGTATACAGTCGCGTTTGCTTATCTATTAATTTATTGCGATTGTGTTGCGTCGGCTCGATAGAAATTGAAATCAAAATTACTAGCGGATAAATCGGCGATAATCGGCATGGTAAATTCTAGAAGCGGTTAAAAAGCAGGATCGTTTATCAAAGTGCAGCTGCGTTGTAAGGAGGCAAATGTTTCCTGGTTGGCTGGAGTTACTATCGGTATGCTCATATTTCGTCGAAGTTATTTTTTAGTACTAAATGTTATTGTCGATATAAATTAATTTTTTGATAAGTCATACTTTAGACATTTTACTCCCGAGGGCTGCTGTGTATAAGGACATAGCAAAAGAATAGGACAAAGGCAAAAATGTTTAACTGTTTCCCTTGGAGGACTCAGTGATGGTAAAATTACTATCAGATTCAAAAGGTAATTTAGTCAGCACATCTTTCTTTCTTGGATTTTAGTTTCTTTAGGAAACTGTATCGAAAGTTTCTTCTGTAATTTATTAACTGTTTAATTTAAAAGGAAAGAAACTCCTAATCTCCGAAGCCGATTTGGAGATGAACTCAGTACGCTTCAAAATTTAGGTACATTTTATTGCTTACTTTAATTACAATTTTAGAAATTGTTTTGAGAAAGTAGATAGTATGGGGGGATAAAACACAAGGAAATATTTAGCAAGCAAGGCTCGAAAAAATATCCTTACTGCCAGTTAGTCTCAGTGAATATTTTAATGTCCTCTATTATATTGATTTATTCCATTACACTCCCCACATGCCGAAAGAATTTTCGGGAAAACAAATATGTACAATTAGAAATTAGGTTAGTTTCTTGTATATATTTCATCACGACTCACGGCCAAACTATTTTAGTTGTATAGAGCCTTAATTTCAAGAATTTAAGGGGGTAGTTAATTTTCTAAAAAGCTTAATAGAAAACATAAATAGAGAAAAAACACATTGCATACGTGTTTTGGTTGGATAAATTTAGTTTGGTAGAGACTACCGAAAAAATATTTTTTTTGAGAACATAAAGGCCATAAACCGAAGTAAATTTTGGGTAATGACTCCGCTGAAAGCCTTGTCTCGATCACTGATGGTTATCGTATTAAAGTCTACTTAAAACATCGCAATTAAGCAATTAAACTAAAAAAGAAACAGCTAAACATTTAAGCCGACCATGAACCATTTAAGCGCAAAGATTACTGTAATTTTTTGTTATACTATTTTCTTCGTGTGAAGCACGTAATGCCAAGCTGTGAGAACAAGAATAATGATGATATCTTAGACATTAGTCGGAGTAGTCTACATTAGATCTTTAATCTTTGGTCAGATATAAGAGCAGTTGCAAACGACTAGGCTCGTCATTGTATAATCCGCAAAATTTCCTAATTACTTGTTCATCCTGGCAAGTAAAATCAATCGACATCTTCCGTTGCATTGAACAAAACAACAAAGCAACTTCGTCTGATTTGACAGCGATGACGTAAAGTTAAGTGTCTATTTTTCAGTCGGAGTATTATCCGTTATTGTTATTCAAATTTGCATTGACAAGTGCTCGAAGTAAAATTTCCAAGGAATCTCGAGTTTAATTAGTAATATTAAATTGAATATACAAAATGATGTGGTAAGCGCAGTGGATATGATTATGACGGGTTTTAAATAAAATTTAAAATTATTAAGGAAAACAACGTGAAAAGCGTAACATCGATGCGCGTGGAATTTCAAATGAATGTAAATGTGTTTGTGCCGCACATTATTAATTAGTTTTAGTGAGTAATAACAGTTTTATGTTATTAATTAAAATACATCTTCGGTAGTAAATAACAAAAGTGTGAGGATGATCTGAAGATTTAAAACTTTATGAAGTATAAAACGGGTAAACCGTTATTTACGTCTTGCGAAACGTAATTAAAAAAATTAAGTAAGTAAAATTTCCCGACAATGAGTCATTGGCTGGATGAAAAATTAAACCCTTTTTTATGGTTTTTATTTTTTTATGGCAGAAAATGTTAAAAACGTTTGATTGAACTTTTAAATAGTTTAAAAAATTTCTGCTAACTGATTGTCAGGATTCGAAACCGTCTAAATATCTTATTTTAGTTTAAGGTAGTTACTATAAGCCACAATACAAAACAATTCAAATAATAAATACAATCGAATATAAGAGATCAATTTGTCAGTTGTTGCTTAATAAAGAAATCGATTTTTGATTTTCTTTTTTGCGGAACCCTGTTTAGTATATTTTGATACTACGGAGAAGATTGCCATATACTGACCTTTATTGTCATATCCCTTTGGCGTGATCCACAATTGGGTCGAAGTGTACTTCCTGGGTGGTACAAATAAGGGATCGTCAAATAATAAATAGAAACACACACTGAAAACCCCCCCTGGAAGTGCGACACTGATCACGGCAAATAGGATGGCACCATTAAAATAACTGGTACTTTTATACCGCACTCCCGAGTGGGAGACGATCTTCAGAGAAGGGGCCATCTTTTACTACGATATGTGGAATAATGTAACAACGATTGTTTTGGATTCTCCGTAGTTTTTTGTTTGTTAAGTTTTCGTCAAATTATTTTAGTTATTTTTAAGGCTGTATTAAGCACGAGGCACTTTAAAAATACTGTACTGATAGTAAATTAAAGAAAGTTTATTTTTTTCGGAAATATGTTCAGACAGGCCGATTTGTATTTTAAATTGCTCTTTTTTAATAATAATGTGTAAAAATCGTTGTGAAAAAATTAGGGTTAGTATTTAAAGAAAGATTCGATCACGTCATCTTTCAAATTTGGGACATTCAGCATAAAACTTTGTTACATAAAAAATATCGCCATTTAAATTACTAATCGGCTTGTCCGAGCAAATTGCCGAAAACAAATTGTCTTTTCTTCCAATACTTATGTGTGTTCATATATACCCATTTGAGCGAACTACTAACTTTGTATTTATTTTGAGTTGTGACAAAAAAATTCAAAAGAAATGTGTTATTAGTTAATCGGAAAATATTAAATGGTTTCTTTTCCTCTATATTCGTTACACTAAAAATGTTTATAAAGCGTTATTAAGTAAAAATACACCTTAAACGTGTGCTTTGAAATGTTTCGTTGTGGGGATAGTAGGGTCTAATAATATAATAAAAGTCATGAGTTATTTGAAAGTGAGATAAGATATATAAGTCGCACCGCTACAGATAAGAGCTAAATTGAAAACCTCCAGCGATCAATTTTTTGTTCAGAAATCGGAATTTTTTGACGAAATTATATCGAAAAACAAAAAAAATGAACAGACTCTATCTCAAAAACTAAGAATTTTACCACACATTTCTAGAAACTTTTTACTCTAAAAATATTAGGGAAATCATCCTGTCAAATACTGGACACTTATTAAACAACAACGTGTATAACTAATTTTCTGCACCAATCATTAGAAGTATTCACAATTAAATTAGAACAAACAATGATATAGATTTTCACAGTTATTTAATGATTTCTGACAGCTGTTTAGGCAACACCGTGGCTTTATTAAATACGGGGTTTGGGTATTTAATAATCATAAATCATTGAACAACTGTGAAAATGTGAAGATTTTTGTTCTAATTTAATTAAAGAAATAGGAGAAACAGAGGAAGTTAAAAATAAAACAAAAAACGTCAAAAAAGTACGCTCTTCACTACTTCGCAAAACTAGAACGAAGCGCACGAAAGCAAAGGAGAAAAAAACGAAAACGCCATTAAAGGAACAAAGCTAAAATAATATGTTACACAATGGGTAGTAGGCGGTGCGACACTTGTGTGCAAAAACAAAAAAATCATGACGGTCCGTAGGCATAATAGATCTCCGACGATCGTTCATTATGCGGGAATGTTATTATGAGATTTGTAAAAATTTATCAGTCATGTATACAAATCCATTATTTAAACAAATCACCGGCTAAAGTTGCATAATTTAAAGTGCTTTTTTGTATAAAATATCTTTCTATTGTTTATCGGTGTATCCTATTCTATTAATAGGAATGGAAATCGTCAGACAGCGTCGGGTCACTACAAAACTTAATATTGATATAAATCCAGTGGCAATATATACACTGCGTTTAAGCACAAGCAATACAGAGTGATTAAAATAACTATGTATATTATGGAGGCGTGAATGACTGGGGACGCTCCGTTTATAAGATCCAACCTGTTACAATTTTATGTTTTACGGTTTTCTTAAAAAATTACTACATTTCAAAATATCGATTTCAAATTTGGAATTTTCATTTCAATATTTTAAATATTTTAACGATATTTAATATTTACAGGGTGAAGCATTATCATTTGTCCCCTAGCGATCAAGTATTTGTTTACTTTTGTAATTTCATTAACGCATGTGTGCCATAAAATTGAAACACGCAGTATTGCTGTTTTATCGGGTGTTTACTTGTAAACGATAATACAAAAAATAAACAGACCATTATTTTGTTTAATTATTAATGCTTTCTCTATCGTTAATTAAGTAAATTTGAACGGAAAATATCCCAGTAATGTCCTTCCGACAAATTGATAACAGGATTGGCTGGAATGTTATAAACAATGATCGCGAAGAATTATATCTTATTCTTCTTAATATTCACGGCTGGCAATGCCATAAGCTGTAGACATAGACAGTTGCGTCTGGCATGGTGTCAAGAATGCGCTCATTGATGTCAGGAGTGGAATCTTGGAATGGGGTGGAACACGAATGCTCTAGAAGAACCTACCACAGACATATCTATCACGTGATTAGCAGGAAGCTACGTTGAGTTACAGAATATCAAAACTTACATGGAAGCCACAGACGAAATTGAATTTTTAACAATTCTCTTTGATGAATTTGTTTAATGATCTCGTTACCTGTTATTTGTATTCAACAATAATCATCACATTTGGCTATAAGAGAGAGCAAAAGGATATGGAAAAGAAATGTGAGTTTTAATTGACTTTTTGAGTTTGGGTGGCGAATGACCCTTAACGATATACGGTAAGTAGTAAGTACGGTAACCTTAGATTCAGATTATGAAGATTTCTTTCTGCAATCAATCGACCTATGGGAGATTAGTTGATACCAACCATTATACGCGAACAATATTTCTGAATCCTTTCGATATTGTTCTGGGTGACACTATTTACGGCACCTAAACTACATCTGCATAATTGAAATGTAATATTGCTCACATGTTGCTGTAAATCAGTATAAATCAGCAGGCCTAGATTTCTTGCGCTATCAGTGCATTCCCAATTTTTATATTAAAACTTTCTTTAACCACGCCGCCCTTGCGCCTACCAATCAAAGCTGTAGAGAGATGTACTTAGATATAGCTCTATAGCTATGTAGGAAGTCACATTAGACTTTTAGTTGTTCCGAATTAGAACTCGGTATTTCTTCTTTCGGTGGCAAAAATAAATAAATCTTTCCCAAAAATTTAATATTTAAAGTTGTAAACCAGTTCAAGATGGCGCTCAAGGGGGTTTACTTCCTTCATATTATCTTACGTTTTCTGCACATGTGGTGACTCAGGGCAACTTGAGTATTCGAACCATGTATTAATGTATTAACCCCTTTTCATAAAAAATAATTTTACATTAAATTAGCATGGAGGAGGACATTGTATTTTCTTTTCTATTAGGGTTACTACCATATTTTTCGAATTTTCATAGTCACAATTGTGTCGCAGAGACGGACAGACCAACTGCTGAAAATTATAATCAACACTGAAGAGTCGATCGTCAAATTATGCCTGGTAGAGAGTTCCACGAATCTATCCAGGTCCTCCACCTTACTTGTGAATCACTGTTAGAAGAAATGAATAAATAAAGCATCATCAGCAGGGTTGTGCAATTCTAAGATAGTTATTAATATTGCTCTTGCAAATGCTAAACAGTAGCAAAGGCAGAGTCCCTTGTAGAACACCACACCATGTCTGTCCATAATCTGATTTGCCTCTGCTAGTGATCGACTAACTGTAAGCGGCTATTTAAATAACTTTGGTTTTGGTATCGAAAGTGCTGTTTTGGCGCTTTGTCAGCTAGTGTTGCTTTTAACAGAGCGGTTGAACAACTTTAACCATTATTGAACCCAGCGAATTTGTGGGTGCATATCTTACTACAAAACTTCCAATAGTATGAAAAGTATACTTCAACTATACTTCAACGTGTTGCAATTTCTGTTTACTATCAATTCTTGCGAATAAAAAGACTCTGTATCTGTATCGGCATCTTTGACCTCTCGCGTTTTCGGTAACAACAAACATCTTCGAACGTTTGGAGCCAGCGTGAAAGTGAAAACGGCTGCAGCGAATCTACCCACCGGGGGCCCGATGTCATAACAAAACGTTAGATTGACGAGTTAATCCACGAAAAACATCTTCACGAGTCACGGTCAGCAGATCCATCATCGTCGGCAGAAGAATGGCCGTGGCGAACACTCGACAGTTGAATCCCAAACGGCTGCATAACCAAGGCTCCCTGATTTTTATCTCGATCGTTCTCTGCGTGTATTTGCGAACGGGCGCGTGCGCACAACAAGATGTTTTCGTTGCGACGCCGTTTGGTTAAGAAAACGGCCTAGTTCGCATGGCGTATTTGCGTGACCCGTGTTCGGTTAAAATAGATTTGTAATATTTTTAGATGATGTAATTACAGGGGGTCACGATAGTTTGAATATATTGTTCGAAAATTATATATATTTGTTTATCTCTCTCTCGAAAACAAAAAACGAGAGACCGAATATCCAAGAGAATTTGAAGAAAATATACACAGGACGGTCCAAGAAACTTCTTCTATTAAAAATTCCTAGGTTTGCTCAAGCAAAGTCTGCATTGCCGGCCTACTTAAGGATAGATAAGAAATTATTCGATATTTCTTACTTTGCATGTAATGTCGTACGGTAATGTTACCATAGATATAAAGCAACACCAACAGCATCTGAAGACATACTGATCAAAAAAGGAGTGCTCCAAATGCTCCAATCTATACAAACGATGATAACGAAACGAATGATATGGTGATATTCTCTGTCTTGCTCTATTGGTGCGAGAGCTGGGTCCTAGTTCCTCAGATAGTACGAATTGTACCTTTACAGACGAATGATTCGAATGTATACAACGGATCACCAGTAACTAGAAACTTAATCATTGTTATTGAACACCATCGAGAAAAGAAAACTTCAATAATTAATGTTCATGTTGCAAGAAATGGGAGATACCAATTACTTCGGTTCATAATTTAGGAAAAGTACAGGGAAGAAGATCAGTAGGAAGACCCCAAAATTCAAGGCTTAAAGACCGCTCGGCTCCAAAAATCCTTTGTGCTGCAGTTTCTAAAACTATAATTGCCATTTGGATCAAAAACATTTATGGGGAGAGGATGTGAATACAAAAAGTTATAAAAAATTACT